ACTCATCACACAAGAACACACCCCGGGCCCGAAATCGCTCGACAGCACACTGACAGCCAGACGCGCAACACGGGTTCCCAGGGAAGGCGAGCCAAAACTCAGCGGCCTCTCCTCCGCGCCCCGCAGGTCGCGGTCGCGTCGCCTCCCGTCGCCGGCCACCCGGCCCTCGCCTCCCGCCGCCTCACCCTCGAGTCGTCGCCCAAGGCGACCAGCGACGTGGGGCTCGGGACCAGCAGGTAGGCTCTGCTGTGTCCGAGGGGCGGCAGGGCGCGGGCGGGCAGCTGTGTTGGGAAGGGGGGGGGGGCGGGTTAGAGTGGGGTAAGAGAGTCGTCTCAGCCCGGCCGAAAAGGCGCGCGCGACGCCACGAACACCGCCGGTTCCCGGCCAATGGCCCGTTCAGCCACAGCGTTTCAGCGTTCAGCTCCTCGGGGCGGGACAAGAGGCCGCCGAGCACGACTCGCTGGCCGAGCAGCGGCGCGTCTGCAACTGCTGCGCCCGAGGAGGCGCCGCCCGCCCCTGCCCGGCCCTCCGCCGCCGCCGCCGCCTCAGACAAGGCCTCGACGCACTCGGCGTGGCCCTGACTCTTGGCCAGCTGCAGCGCCGTGCTGCACCTGCAGCTCGCAGTGCGCGCCGCGGTGTCTGCGGTCCCGTGTCAAAACTCAAAAGCCAAATGTGACCCTCGCGTTTGCTGTTTCTCGTCCCATTTTCAGACCAACAAACAACCGTCCGGTCGCGCTCGGCGCTCGCGACGCCCCCCCCCACCGGCGCCCGCGGGCCGCGCGCCGGGCCGCGCGCGCCAGTGCAGCACAGCGGCAGCAACCAGCGCGCAAGAGCCAAGAGTCAGACTCCGCACCACCCCCGTACACACACCACCAGCCGCGCGGCCTCTAGGCAGCGCACAGGCGCATGCACAAAGCGTGTGAGACTAGAGAGCCCCCCCCCCCCCCCTCGGGGCCTTCCGGAACGCGAGCAGCACCCTTGACGCGGGACGCCGCCCACGAGGCGGCACACGAGACGAGGCTCGAGTAGAAGAGGAGCGAGGCGAGGCTCACTCGAGAGGGAAGGCAGCAGTGACAGCTGGCCGCCCGCCACGCCGCCCACGAGGCGGCACACGAGACGAGGCTCGAGTAGAAGAGGAGCGAGGCGAGGCTCACTCGCCACGCCGCCCACGAGGAGGCACACGAGACGAGGCTCGAGTAGAAGAGGAGCGAGCTGAGGCTCGCTCGCCACGCCGCCCACGAGGAGGCACACGAGACGAGACTCGAGTAGAAGAGGAGCGAGGCGAGGCTCACTCGCCATGTCGCCCACGAGGAGGCACACGAGACGAGGCTCGAGTAGAAGAGGAGCGAGGCGAGACTCACTCGAGAGGGAAGGCAGCAGTGACAGCTGGCCGCCCACCACGCCGCCCACGAGGAGGCACACGAGACGAGGCTCGAGTAGAAGAGGAGCGAGGCGAGGCTCACTCGAGAGGGAAGGCAGCAGTGACAGCTGGCCGCCCGCCACGCCGCTCACGAGGCGGCACTGGGGTGCTGCCTGGAAAGGAGATATCCCAGAGCCACCTGAGCGCAGAGCTCAGCCACATCTGCAGCACGAGGCCGGAGAGAAGAGAGAGGCACGCCACGAGTTGAGATGCAACAGCATTCCTCAGAGCGGGCTGTGGAGCCACTGACTCAGGTCTCCAGGTGGACGAGGCCGCTGTGGCAGGGCCGAGGCGACCGCAGAGCATCGCAGGCAAGCAGATGAGGCCATCGCCCATCGTGCACTGCTGCCAAGGACAGTCGCCAGCAACAGCAACAATGGGGCAGACGCACAGATCCTGCACGGAGAAGAAAGAACTGGTGCAGCCGAAGGGCTGGCGCAGTAGGAAGGAGAGCCTGGCGCGGCCAAGGACGAGGAGCGGCGTCATGGCCAGGTGAGCAGGAGAGAGCAGCGGAAGCCGCGCTCATCAGAGCAGCGAGCGGGCGGGAGCGCCCGACACACACGGAAGTTCAAACTTCCGTAAAAGATGAAGTAAAAGATGTCCATGGAGAGTCCGTGAAGGACGCAGAGGCAGAAGAAGAGGTAGGAGAGGAGAGGATCTCCGTGAGTCTCCTGCGGGAAACTAGTGGCCTATCACGAGTTAGGGCCCCTACCCCAATCGTTATCGGCGAATTACGTATGACGGACGCTTGCTGAAACAAACCCGCGGAATTCCAATGGGGAGTGCGCTATCGCCACCACTGGCGATAGGAACTCTTGCGTGGATGGAGCACGAGTGGATGCAAACGCTCGAAGATGATGCGAAAGCGCGTTTCCGTATGAAGCGCTACATGGACGATGTGATCACGGTGACTGCCAAAGACGATAGCGCATGGGATGTCGATCGTTTCCGGGAGGATTTCCGTCGTTCTGAGTGCTACTGGGCGCCTTTGAAGCTGGAGGCAGCCGATAACGCTCATTTTTTAGAGACGGCTCTCGAGCTCGACGCGAACGGAGGTTTCCGGACGAGACTCAAGAACGTCAATGAGGGCTGCGAGAGAGAGCCTCGGGTGTGGCGCTACCATCGCTGGGATAGCTTCACATGCGCGAAGATGAAAGAGGGAATAGTCATTGGATGCCTGCTCAAGGTGAGTGCTATGGCGAGCGATGACGAGGGGTTCGCGCTCAGCATGACGAGCAAACTCAGGGAGTTCATGGCGCTCGGATACCCTGCACACGTGCTCAACGGGGTGATCGGGCGCGCGTTTGCTCGGACAAAGGACGAACGGCTCCTACGAGCAAGACAGTGTTCGCAGTGGTGAGGAGGTTTCTTGCAAAACCCTTACCCAGACGAACCAAAAATCCAAAAAGACAGACAAATGTATTGTGTCGGGCTACCGTCCAAAGGCGGGTGTAGTCGACCAAGGGACCACGAATCTGGTCTGTCGACAGCACGAATTTGGGATGGGACACCTTCGGGACCCGGCTGCGTGCTACTTGGATAGCACGCTTTCGGAGTACCGACGGCTAAGGCCGAGGCAGAAAAGGTTTCTGTTTTTTCTCCGCTTTTCTTCACAGGATTTTCCTGTGAAGAGAGACGTGCGTTTATGTGAAGAGAGACGTAGAGAAACAGATCTTTCAAACTCGGTGTCGAACCACCAGCCCGACGCTCACTACAAGTGATCGCCGGGCGGCGACACTCTCGCTGCGGCGGCGACACCATGAACGCGACGAACGCATCGCTCGGCGTCGCGGCTGCCAGCCTTGGGATCGCAGCATGCTACCTGTACACCCGCAAAGCGTCGCTGTTTAGCCGCTCCGATTATGGTTCGGAGCGGCAGCAGGCTGAGTGGGCAGTGAGGATGGCAACAGTGCAGCAAAGCGGGAGCCAGCGTGGCGCATCGGCACAGCTCGTGCCACTGGCCAGCCGCACCCACAAGAGCGCGTTCGATCTGCAGATAGTATCGCGCCTCATGGTAGGCAAGTACGCCAATATTTGGCGTGGCCACGTGCTGCTCAAGGATGCGGTTGCACTGCACTTGTACGGCATGCTGATGCAGCGGCAGATGCCAAAGACCATCTTTGACCTTGGCACTGCGGGCGGAGGGTCGGCTGTCTGGTTCGCCACGCAGATGAAAGCCATGGGACTGGTTGAATGCAAGGTGATCACCGTCGATATCGAGGACCTGCGCACGCCAGCTTGCCGCAGGGAGATGGAACAGCTGGGCATCGAGTTCCTCCAGGCAGACCTCCGCGACGCGTCTGCAATGCTGAGCGCCATCAAAGATAAGGCGCACCCCTGGCTGATTGCCGAGGACTGTCACGTCGACGCCCACGTGATCATGGCCGCTTTCGACCCCGCCACTACATCTGGCGACTACATCATTTTCGAGGACACGCATCCGTGTCACCCCGACAAGAGTTGGATGGATGCCGAGGACATGGACAAGTACACCTACGGCGCTTTTGCCAACAAGAAGCTGGCCGCCGTTGAGGCTGCGATGGGGGCACTGAGCGCCCGCTACTCGATCGACGCGTCCATTCAGGATTTGTACGGCCACAACGGCGCCACTTTTATCAACGGCGTCTTCGCGCGTCTTTGAAAGCCTCTTTGATTCCCGCCCCTCTGCGCTCTGCACTACTGTTAGCTTTTGAATTACTTTATTGAATGGCTCCGGTTCCGGTCCGGTGTACGGTGCGTCTGTGCGTAGTGTGGGACGTTCGGGTGTGAACTTGCAGATCAGTGATGCGTTCTGGACCCGCTTTGGGTAGCTCTCGCGGGGCCGACCCAGAATTGTGTGGGTCCGTGTGGGATCTTCGTTCTTCGTACCGTAGGATGACATGTGTCTTCATTCTGTGTGCGACACAACTGGGGGCCCTGTGCGCGCCGACCGTCTAGCGCGTCTTACCACGTACTGTAGCCTGTATTTACTCGCAAGCCACAATGACTCGGCGCGCGGCGACCGCGGCGTGTTACAAGACACAACATACTTTATTCAACACGGGGCATCGTAGGTCGTCGGAACGAGCTCGGCGGCGCGCGTGCGCACCCACGCGCGCGCCTCGGCGGCGTCCGCCGGCGCCCAGTCCGCCGTGCGGCAGAGCGCCGCGCCGACGGCCGACGCAACGGCGGCGGCGCGCGCCGGCGGCGCGCCGGCGGCGAGCTGCGCGCACAGCGCGCCGCCGTACGCGTTGCCCGCGCCTGTGGGGTCGGCAAGCTCCTCCTCCGCAAGCCGCACGGCGGGCACGTGCGTGAGGCGCGCGGGCGCGCCGCGCGCGAAGAGGTACGAGCCCCGCCCGCCGTCGCGGATCGCCAGCAGCGCGGCGGGCGGCAGCCGCAGCGCGCCGGCGCACCGCCGCGCCAGCCTCAGAAGCTCCGGCCGGCCGCCCGCAGCCGCGGCCGGTGGCGCGTCGCTGTCCTCCGCGGCGGCGGCCGCGTCTGCGTCGGCGGCGTCTGCGTATGCAGCGTCTGTGGTGGCGGCGGCGTCTGTGGCGGCGGCCGCGTCTGCGATGGCGCGCGCGGTGTTCAGGTCGGGCGTGACCAGCGCGGCCCGCGCCGTGAGCACGCTCAGCGATGCCACCGCCTAGGCGGAGACGCAGCTGAACACCGAGGCAAGCCTGCAGCCGTGGGTCGAGGACGCTCTCGTGAAGCTGCACGCGCGAAAAAACGTGTCGATGAACTCAAACTACACTCCGTGGACGATCGAGGAGGACCGCCTCCTGTTGCACTCGTACCAGAGCGGCGCGAAGATCACCGACATTCGCGTGAGTAGCCGATCCGCCGAAGCAATCAAGCTCCAGCTACGCCGACTTCAGAACGTCACGCCACTGGTACGCGACGCGCACCACAAAAGCCGCTGCGACCCGGAGGCGCCGTTTCAGTACCTGCAGCACGACATCTGGACGCCGATCGACTCGACCCTCGCTCTACCGCCGTGCGCGCAGATCGACTGGATTCGCGGCGTCGCAAAGGTGCCTCCCTTACCCTGTTCGCCTGCACGCGCGCGTGATCATTCGGCTATCTCCAACGACTAGTGAATCCATACCCTCCGACACCCGCATCTCCTCCGTCATTCATCACCCAATGATAATCATATCGGACCCCACCGTCCCCGAGATTTCAAAGCCCGGAGGCCTGATCAGTCAGAGCAGATGTTCGCGCCGCTGTCTCGCCGCGCCGCCGCCTCGCGCCGCCCGCCGCCGCGCCGCGCCGCCGCCCGATGATTAGCATTAGATGATAACAAGCTTGCCGAGCCTGACCTCCCGAAGGCGATGCGAGAGATTTTTATTAACCAACAAGAAATCACCACTCTCACAGTGATTTGGGCTCGGCAGCTTGCGCCAAACGAGGGATGGGACGAGGATGTGAGAGAGTGCGTTGTGTTCTTGCCACGCAGGGGCACAGCCGCCGGTTGCGGTCCGGCGGCGGCGGCGGCGGCGGCGGCGGGGACGGCAGGGAGTTGTCGTCTTCGGTGCACTTCGCCTCGCAGCCTCCCCCGTTCGTGAGACACGCTTCGATCCCTGTGCAGGCGCCGTGGGCGCGTTTAGGGTCCAGAGTGAAGGTAGGAATGCAGCATGGTGGCTCTGCTGCGTTCGCCGTTTCTGCGACGTGATCCGCCACCATGATGGTTGCACCGTCGCAGGTGTCATCTACGGCAAATTGGAACTGCCAAAGCACACCGGTAAACGTGCGTGTGACAGCCTTACGATACGACGTTAGCCCTCGCCGCCGCCGCCCTCCACCTCGCCCTCGCCGCCGCCGGCTCCCACGTCTGCGGCTCCCACGACTGCCGCCCCAACCACGGCAGCTCCCACGACAGCGGCTCCCACCACTGTCAACCACGGCAGCTCCCACCACTGCAGCTCCCACCACTGCGGCTCCCACCACGGCGGCCCCAACCACGGCGGCTCCCACCACGGCAGCGCCCACCACGGCGGCTCCGACCACTGCGGCTACGACGACGGCGGCTCCCACCGCGGCAGCCCCCTGCTTCAACGTCACGGTCGAGTTGACCACCGATACGTACGGCTCGGCTACTGGAACACTCCAACATCAGATTTGCCTCCGTGCGTCCCTTTTTGAGAAGGCGCAGCTATTTTCTTTTGGGTCCTGTGGGCACCCTAGCAAGAGGTCTCACTACTCACTTGTTCGTATTTGTTTACTTATTTTTATTTAATGTTTACAGAGAATGTGGCGGTTTTCGACCTGTTCCTTTTTACCCATCTCACAGTAGTATCAGTAGAGAGCTGAGCGTTTTTATTATTATTTTGGCTTTCGAGTTTCGTGGGTGAGTTTCGTGCGGACCCGGTGCACAAGCGCCGCAATGCTTCCCCACCATGATGGCAACCATTGCTCCCATCTCTCGGCGCCGGGCACCGCCTCGGGGTACAAAACCTGCGCCCTACGGCGCCCCCCTCCCTCCCAGCAGCTCCCAGCCCCTCTCCTCTTGTACCCCCCCCCCCCCCCCCCCAAGTACCGCGAACGCGGACCGCCTTGGCATCTCTCGCCCTCGCCGGCTGGCCGACGATCACAGTGTCAGCATGATCTTGCCCTTCATTGCCTTCTCGGCAGCCGCCATGTCGCTCTCGGCAATGGCGGCGAGCACCTTCTTGGCCGCCTACAAGAGACAGCGCAACTGTGGGGCCGCGACCTCTCGGCAGTAAGCACGGCAACCCCCGGTTTCGGCCGCCTTCTTGTCGCACACGTGCTTCTCCTTGATGGCCGCGACGAGTGCATGCGAGTCGAGGGTCGCCGTCAGGCCCAGCTTGGCTGCGCTCTTCTCCAGCCCCAGCGCGGCAAACGCTGGCTCGGCCTGCATGGCCGCCATCTTTGTGGGGTGGCAGTGCATCCACTTGGAGCCGCACGACGCCTCGGCCAGCCGGACTGCCAACGCCTGATCGGCCACATGCGAGGGATGGTGAGACGCAAGCCGGGAGGGAGAGGAGAGCGGCGGCGGCGGCGGCGGCGGCGCGTGCGCGCCTCGGGCGAGGAGAACCGCTGCAGGAATGCCGCCTTGGCGGAGAGGTTGGAGAGGGCGCGCGTGATGGTGCCGTCTAGCCCGGTGACCTTGGCGCGAGGGCGACGCGTCGGGAGGCGTCAGACCGCGCGGCAGTGTGCGGGCGGCGAGGGCATGGCAGCGCGGGCTCGGCGGGCCACCTTGGCACGGCTGACGATAGAGCTCCAAGGCGTGTCCACCAGCACCGTCCCGTTTTCAAAGACGGGCTGCAACACGTCGCCCTCGACGCCGCTGCAAAACTCGGCGTACGACATCGGCTGGGCCTCGAGCATCTTGCCTACACGCTCGGGCGCACTCTCGGGTCAGTCCTGGACACTCTCAGGCGAGCTGACCGCGCCACTCGGCTCGCCCGCGCTGTCGTAGGTGCCGCGATTCCGTAGCACGCCGTCGGCGCCGCGCAGGACGGGCGGGTTGCCGGGGTACGACTTTTTGCCGCCCGCGATCGGGTCCTTCCCTATGGCGTACATGCGCCCGCCGACGTACATGGCGCAGCACTTGAAGGCGACGGAGAGGGAGTCGCGGTTGAGCTTCTGCAGCAGCCCGCCGCCGGAGCCGAAGTGCACCGCGTTGACGCAGAAGCCGTTTGCGAGGATCGATGCGCACATGTCGCCGACCGTGTCAAGCGCCACGCCGTCGCCCTGCAGTATGCGGAACTGCTGCCCCACGAAGCGACGGAACGGGTTGTCGCCCGCGGGCAAGCCCTTCGCCTTGCGGATCGACTCGCACACAGCCTCGTACTCTGCCTGACGCGGGTCGGTCGGCGCGAACAGCGGCCGGAGCGGCGAGAGGCCCGACTCCCAAGCCTCCGGGAGCGTGGCGTGGAAGAGGGAGAGGAGCTGCGGCAGCGTCTCGACGCCCTCGCCAGAGTCGGGGCGCACGAGCGTGAGCTGGCCCGCCTACATGGGGTACCGCCAACCTCAGGGCGGGGAGACGGTCTCGTGCAGAGTACTAGCTGGCTCAAGTGCGCGGGCGTGGCGACCGCACTCAGAGCACCGCGTGCACACGGTGTGAAGTCGTACCAACGAATACCATACGGCGGAATGCAGCGTAATCCGTGTCCTCTCTAGCGCTAGTGGGCGTACACGAATATGTACTCAGCTTCTAGGCGGGCCCGCCTTGAGGCGCGCGCGGATGATGGCGCGCATCGACAAGCCGCCCGCCTCGCCGCCCTCGACCACCTTCTCCGACGGCCACAAGTTGGCGACTGCGTTCCAGATGTTGAAGCCGTCCGACACGAGCGAGACCGCAAAGGAGGGCATGTACTGCCGGATCATGTTGACAAACGCGGCGTACTCGTCCGCCTCATACTTGGCCGGGTCGGCGCCGGGGGACATGTCCGCCCACGAGGTGATCGTCGAGTGCTCGGCCGCCGGGACGGAGGTGGCGCAGTGCAGCTGCTCGAACATCGCGCGGAAGCTCTCTACCGGGGTGCCGCCCAGCTTCGGGTCCGCAGCGTTGTAGTGGCGGAGCAGCATGCGCGAGCCGGCGACCGTGTCGGAGCCCTCGAAGCCGGCGGTGTAGTAGGCACCCGAGCCGAGACCCGCCTACGAACGAAAGAGGTCCGCGAGAAGATGAGCGCTCCCAGGGGGGGGGGGGTTGGGGGAGAGTGAGTGCGCGGATCGCGCGCCGTCTCGTGCGAAGAGACGCCCCGGTAGCCAAAGTCGAGCAGGTCGAAGACTTGCGCGATGTGGACTGGAAGGTCGTCGGCGGCGATGTTCTCCGGCGTGAAGTCGCGCTCGCCCGGCAGGAAGTCGACCTGCGAGACCCGCTGCGAGAGAACGCTGTACGCCTGGATGGTCTTGCGGAACTCGCGCGCCTGCGTCGCCACCGTTGTGGGGTACCAGACCTGCGCGAGGGGGGAAGGGCAGTGGGAGCGGATGCGGCATGCGGAGAGAGCTTGCACAGCACTCGGCCCCCGCGTGAGTGCGCAACCCGCTCGGGCCGCCTCGCAGCTCGTCGCAATGCGCTGGGCCATCCCTCGCCACTGCAAGGCCCGTCGGCTGCGCTTGAGTCACTCACGGGTGTGGGTGGGTGGGTGGGTGGTATGTGTATGTGTATGTGTGTGCAAGTTCAGGTCATGCACAAGCATGAGCCTGCGTGGGCTACTCTCGCGCGGGAACTAGAGCCGTAATGCCACCAACGACGGCGGAGTGCGTGCGTGTTCGCGCGCGTGCATCCCGCGTGCTAGCTGTGGCACGGGGGAGAGGGGGGGGGGGGGGGGGTTCGACGATCAAAATGGGGGCACCACGCCTGCACGAGGAGGGTCTCGAGGAAGTTTGGCAGCCAGTAGAAACGGGGGTGCGTGTTGGTCAGCTTGAAGAACGCGACGCCGGGCGCGACGATCGAGCCCTCGGGTAAGGCCTCGATCTTGATGGGCAAAGCGCCCGGGACGGCACCGGGCGTCGGCACGCCTGAACAAAGGAAGACGGTGAGCAAGAGAACGGAGTGCGGAGACCGACTAGAGCGCGGCGTCGGCACACCCGTGCATTCGTAGTCGCCGCTTGCCATCGCCTCCCAATCGCCGCGCGGGAACATCGTCCGGTCCCAGCCGCCGGCGAACGCTGGGCCGGCGATGCGCACGTCGGCCATGTACCGCGCGATAAACTCCTCCGCCTGCGGGGCCCCGTCCCGAAACGTGGTGGACGTGTCCGGGACACGCACGCTCGCGGCGGCCGATCACCGCATCTGTCGCGTGCGTATCTGCTTCTCGTGCCGGGCCGTGTGCGTGTACGCGTGTGCGTGGGTGGGTGGGTGGGTGGGTGGGGGGCTTGCGTGTGTGTGTGTGTGTGTGTGTGTGTGTGTGTGTGTGTGTGTGTGTGTGTGTGTGTGAGTGCTTGTGCGCGCGCGCGCGTGTGTGTGCGTGTGTGCGTGTGTGCGTGTGTGTGTGTGTGTGCGTGGCCGCCGCCTCGGCGATCTTTGCGGCGGTGACGACGGGACCAACCAGATACTCCTTGATGAAATACTGCAGGCCGAAGAAGACGATGTGGTCGCCGGCGCCTACAGGAAAGTTCCGAGAAACTTTAGGGGAACCCTCCTTGTCGCGTCCGGGAGGAGGACGAAGTCGGCGGCGCCTGCAGCGGAAAGTTCCGAGAAGGTTCACGGAAGGCTTCGCACCCGGAGTCGCGTGGTGCTCGCAGGCGCCGTCTGTGGCGAGCGGCTCGAACGCCTCCTTGTAGCCGCGGCACGTAAAGTACGAGACGTTGTAGCCGCCTGTCGGCCCGCGATGCGGCTCCGGCGTCGTGAGGGCGGCGGAGGAGGCGGGCGCGATGGCGCACGCGCGCGTGCGCGTCGAGGAGGGGAGAGCGGGTTGCGCGGGCGGAGGCAGACACGCCCGCTCAAGACCGCGACGACGCTAGATCTCGACTAAATCTCGACTGGATCTCGCCCACATCTCGGCTACCTCTCGCTGCTCGCCCTCAAAGCTCTGGATCTCGCCCACATCTCGGCTACCTCTCGCTGCTCGCCCTCAAAGCTCTGGATCTCGCCCACATCTCGGCTACCTCTCGCTGCTCGCCCTCAAAGCTCTGGATCTCGCCCACATCTCGGCTACCTCTCGCTGCTCGCCCTCAAAGCTCTGGACCTCGCCCACATCTCGGCTACCTCTCGCTGCTCGCCCTCAAAGCTCTGGACCTCGCCCACATCTCGGCTACCTCTCGCTGCTCGCCCTCAAAGCTCGCGTTGAGCGACGAGCCGCGCTTGAACTTGGACTCGTCGACGTTGGAGACGCGCACCTGGACGCCGCACGCCAAGGCGCCGTGCTCAGACCGTGCTGAGGGAAGCGCGGGCGGCGGCCTGCACTCCCGAGAGCATGCGTGCGGCGTGGATGCTTTCGCATTCTCGCCCGCTCTGCTGAGGGGAGGGGCAGGACTAGCGGTCGCCTGAGGCGCCCATCTCTCTACCCGCCCTCTCTTGGTTTGCTAGCGGGGCACACGTGCCCAAGGGCGGCGAGAATGGATCGCGCGTCCGCTCGTCTGCGCACGCGCGTTCTCTCGCCCCCGGCAGTGTGCTCCTGCCCTTTTGATCTCTGTCGTGGCGCGTGTGGACACAGAGCGGGGAGGCGCCCCCAGATGCGGAAGACGGCTCCGTGGGCTCCAACTGGCAGTGGGGAGAGGACGCGGTCTCGCCTGCAACCCGCGGCTGCCGCTGTGTTCACTGGCATGCGAGGCCCCATATCTCCCCCGTGTCTCCCCGTATCTCCCCGTATCTCCCCACCCAGCTCCCAGTCCAGTGGCGCGGGCTTCAGGCGCCTTGGCGTGCGTCGTGGGGAAGCCGAGCTCGGCCAAAGCGTCGCCAGAGAGCGAGAGCACCAGCGTGGCCTGTGCGGGGACACGCCCTGGTCGTGTCATGGACAGCACCGGCCGGGCCCAGCAGCGAGATGTGCCGAGATGTGCCGAGATGTGCCGAGATGTGCCGAGATGTGCCGAGATGTGCCGAGATGTGCCGAGATGTGCCGAGGTGTGCCGAGGTGTGCCGAGATGTGCCCGTGGGAGAGCTGGATGTGCCCGGTGCGTGCGAGCGAACGTCGGCCTTTAGCGGCCCTCTCCCTCTCCTCTCCTCTCCTGCTTAGTCCACCTCCTCTCCTCCTCTCCTCTCCCCTCCTCTCGGCAAGCGCCGGCCTTTAGCGGGCCCGCGTACTCCACCGCCGCGCAGGCATAGTTGATGTCCGCTGCGGCGTCCGCCTCTGCCGGCCCGAGCACCTAAAGTGAGGTGAGCGAGGTGAGGCTGCGGCTCAGACACTGCTGCTCTCCAATTCGGTGTGGCTGTGCGTGGTGCGTGTGGGCACGTCCGACAGCCTAGCAGCCATGCAGCTGTGCGGGGGGGGAGGAGGACGCGGACTCCTCTCCTCGCCTCTCCTCACGCGTCTCACGCGAGCACCTTGACCACTGCGGTCGACGCGTTGGTGATGAGCACGAGCGAGTCGCTGCCTCCTCCCGGAACGGTGGCGAGCTGCAGCAGCTTGGCACCCGGCGCCTTGCTGGTGGGCGGGAAGAGCACGGCTGGGAAGTACTCGCCGCTCTGCGAGCCGGGTCGAGCGTGCTCTGGCATCCATGAGACCGGGTACCTGCGGCCGGCGAGGCGGTGTAAGCACCGACCGCGCGGCGTCTCCGCCCGACCACGCCATGGCGGCGGCGCACTGCTTGTGGTGCGAAAACTTGTAGCCGTCTGTCATGAGCAGGATGTTGTGCCCGTCGCTGCTGCTGCGGACCGCAAAGAGGGTGCAGTGAAGAGGGATGAAAAGGGACGAAAAATGCGTGAGCTTGCGGGCTGTGGCGCGTCGCGCACCCGGTCGGCGGCGCGCTGCCGACGCTGGCGTCGCCTAGGCAGGACTTCAAGCAGGACATGCCAGCGAGCTCTCTCAAAGCCGAACGCCGGCCGCTGGTGGGTTCTTCACAGCGCCTTTCAGTCACTTAAAGTGCGCGTCGAGCTGGTGTTGTTATGAGAAGAAAATCCCTCTGGCGCTATGCGCTGGTCTGTGAGAGGTTGAGGTGCGAGCCCTGGAGGCCCTTTCACAGCCTCTCGAGGTTCTCGAGGTGGATATCCTTTGGCCGCGTTGGGTAGCGAGGATTGGTGTGACGCGATCCACGCAGGCGTGGTTTCTGACGGCCGACCGACCGAGCGACCGTCAGTGCACGGAGTTGCCCCTTCTCCGACTGCCCCGGCTAGTTCACGAGTTTCGCGGGAGTGACCCCATGCGTCAAACCCGAGACCTAGCGCGGGTGGGTTGGAGGGGGCTCGCTGCAAGGAAGGAAGGGCTGTGTAAGAAGCCGATCCTCGTAGTCCGCCCCGTTCCTCCCCATCGGGCCGCGTGAGCGGCCTCGCCACGCAGATTTGTTTCTCGCGCCTGGGTCAGGCGCGCGGGGCATCCCCCGGGTCGCTCGACCAGCGATCCGAAGAGTGGCCGCTATGCGAAGAGTACGCCTCCGTCCGGCCCCCTCCGAGGGGGTCGACGAGGGGGGAAGGGAATTGCGGGGTCCCCACCGGCGTCTCTCTTGTCGGCCCTCCCGAGGGGGGGAGGGAGCAAGGGGGTGAGGGGGTCGGGGCGGTGGGGAGGGGTCTCGGTTGCGTGTGGCTAATACTTGCCTTTCGGGGAGGGGCCTCGGGAACGGCGAGTCCAGCTCAGCCCTACGTCTTCCCCTCCTCCCCAGAGGCAGCGAGTAGGCCGCGAGAGGAGCACTCGAGCGCCTATGTGTCAATCGCCATAGGTGAGAGGGCGATATGAACAGGGGGGGGGGGGGGCTGGCGGGCGGGCGGGCTGGCTGGCGGGCGGGCGGGCGGGCAGGTGGGCGGTTGGGCAGGGAGAGGGGGATTTGTATCTGGCGACTGCGCAGCAGCTGCCGTAGGTGTAGCGGCAGCAGCGGCCACAGCAAGCGACATGGCAGCAGCAGCAGCAGCAGCAGCAGCGCCTGCGGTGTCAAGTCTTTCAGTCTATCTAGGGAAGGCGGCCGCGAGGTAATATACCGAATAATGGTGTCAAAACACCGGGGGTGGTTGGCGCGCAGGCTAGTCCCGCGCTCTCTCTCTGTTCCTCTCTTCTCTGATTTGATCCAGGCGTAGATCGTCTTAGCTGCGAAACACACGCTAACTAAGGACAGGGTCGGACTGTGTGCTAGTCCGAGACCTACCGCCCCAGGGAAGAGAACCCTGGTGCACCTGTTCGCGGGGTTCCGCCCCACTAAGCAGGGCAACCCCTCTCGAGGCGGCTAGACTCTATCTCAAGCTTGCGCCCACCCGTGTCGAGTCGTTACACGTCCCCACGTCTCGTGCTAGCCGAGCCACCCGGCCGAGCCCAAGGCTATCCATTCGAGACGGACTTGCCCCGAGACGGCTTCGGTGGACGGCCTTGCACCGCGGGGTTCGCTCGGTATAACCCCGATCCCACGCCCCTCTGGGGAGAGGTGCCTGCAAGCAGGCCGGCGAGCTCTCGTGTCCTAGGGCGTCTACCGACTTTCCGGATGTCGCCACGCCTGGGGCACCGAGCCACCGACTCTCTGCCCCGCGCGCCGCCAGCCGCTCCCCCGCCGGCCTCACCGACCAGCCGCTCAAGGCGGCCCCGTCGGGCGGCTACGCGGTGCGGCCCCGCGGCACAGGCATGCAGAGCGGTGGGAGGTATCCCCCAGACTGACTTGCAGTGTCCTCCCCACGGCGGCGCTGTGCACTATCAGCGCCGCCAGGACACCACCGACGGTGTTCGGGTCCCGGGCCCCTGTCCGGTCCCGGGCCCTCGCCCTTAGTGCGGGCGTGAGTAGTCCTGTGCCGTTCAGCTCGGAGGCCTCCCTGCTCGCCGAGCTAGGGCAACGAGGAGGATTTCGAGCGGGAGCACGTAGGTAGTAGTGCAGGATGCCTAGTTAGGTAGTAGTCGTCGAGCACGTACAGGTAGTCGTCGCTCGTGCAGAGGTGGTAGTAGACGGTCATGATTCTGCGGCTACCACCTACGGTAGCCGCCAAAGCGGCCGAAGCCGCCGAAGCCACTGCCCCGGGCTGGGGGGTGGTGCGCTCCCCACGGCGGCGGCGATGGGCGCGCCGCGTACTGCGGCGGCTGGTGCTGCGGCTGCCAGCGCGTTGCGTGCGGCGGCGCCCGGGGCTCCGCGGGTTGCGGGCGCCCGCCTCGTCCGCGGCCACCCCCATCGCTCGCGCCGCCGCGTCCGCGGCTGCCGCCCTTGCCGCGCCCGAGGGCACTCGAGCCGCGACGGCTCGCCTCTGTGCCCGCTGCTGCGCCTTGGCCGCCTTCTTGCCCTTCTTCTTGGACCCTTGCGCTGTCTTGGAGACGGCTCGCTCGGCCTGCACACCGCGCTTGAAGGCGGTGCGAGAGTCGCGCCCCGCGTGCCGCCGCACAGCGCGCAGCAGCGCCCTGTCGGAGAGCATTTGCGCGCTCCTCGCCTTGAGCTCGGCCTCGAGCTGGATCTCCCTCGCCGTCCGCGACTGGCCCGCTGACGAGTCAGCTGCGGCGGCCACCGCCACTGGCTCGGCGGCAGCGGGGGCCAGAGAGCACGCCGGCGGAGGAGGGCGCGCCGGCGGAGGAGGGCGCGCCGGCGCCGCGGGGGCGCTGGCGAACCTCGCTTGCAACGCCGACAACAGGGTGGCGATCGCGAAGGCGGGCGGCATCGCGCCGCGGGTGGCGCTGGCTCGCGACGGCACGGACGGGCAGAAGCGAGAGGCCGCGGGGGCGCTGCGGAGCCTCGCTAGCAACTCCAATAACAACAGGGTGGCGATCGCGACAGCGGGCGGCATCGCGCCGCTGGTGGCGCTGGCTTGCGACGGCACGTACTGGCAGAAGGAGTGGGCCGCGGGGGCGCTGCGGAACCTGTCCATGTTTGGGAGGAAGATTCCGACCGAAGATGACAAGCTGCCGAGCCCAAAAGCCCAAATCACTGTGAGAGGCGTGATTTCTTGTTGGTTTTCTAAAATCTCTCTCTCTCCGACCGACCTTGCTCCTTGGGCTAGATTCCTATATTTCACCACAAGCGCCAAACTGCTTCGCCGCGCGCTGCTCTGCAGGCGCTGCTTACAGCGTCAAGGGCGGCCCTTAGCTGAGTAGAACTCGAAGTGGGCGTCGAGGAGGCATAGTAGAGTGTGAGCCCGCGTCGCCGTGCCCAGGGTCGTGCGAGGGAGTATGGTAAAATTCTTTTCCCTCCACGGCGGGCACCCTGTCGACGGCGGCGCCCAGGCGCCAGGACTCGCCGCGAACTTAGATGCCGCCCGGCGACCTGCTTCCGAGCCCAGAGGTGCTGTGTGACAACCGAGCCGTGCCCGCTGGAGCACAGCCAATGATCCTGTGGCAGGCGCAACGCGTAGGCTCGACGTGGGTTGAAGGGCTCCTCAACTCCCATCCCGAGATGAGATGCAGAGCGAGATCTACAACTACTGTCCAGATGCAGCCTGCTTGCAACGCATGTGCGGCCTCTTCACGAAACCACTACATGCCGCTGACCGAGTGCGAGGCTTCAAGCAAAAATTCTTCTACTGCGGCGGCGGCTTGCAGAAGAACTGGAAGGTGTGCCTGCCCGCTGATGCAGGATTGAATGCGTTGGAACGCTGCCTGTTGCCCAACGATCCGGAGGTCTCCACAAGAGACAACATCAAGACTATCATTCGAAGGCACCAGCACTCGCTCTCGCACCAGATGTTCACGCACGTGGGCGCAAAAATTGTGTGCATGCTGCGTCGCAACGCGTTTGACATTGCTCTCTCGATGCGAACGCACAACATTTTGTCCCAAAGATGCTCCATCAGCAACCTCGTGGACGCGGAGGCGTTTGCGTGCTGGGAGGAGGTGCGCGCCTTGTCACCACATCTCGGTCTTCCTAGACACCCAGTCCTCGACGCGGGATGGGCCTTCTCCCGTCAGGTGCGACGCGGGGGTGTGTGGATCAACGCAACCGAATTCGGCAAAACAGTCGCAGCCCAGACCCGATTCACAAGGTTTCAGGTGGAGGTTTGCGAGGCTCAAGCCAGGCTCTCGCCAGTCTACTTTCTCTGGTGACCCTCTCACCCTCTCGCCCTCGCTCTCGCCCTTTCGCCCGCCTTCCTCAGTCTCCCGTCCGGACCCCTTCTCACCGCCACCGCAGGTACGAAGACCTGCTCAACAACTTTCAAAAAGCGACACGCGACCTGCAGACCTTCCTAAACGTCACGCCGCTAGAGCTGACGGCGACCGCGCAGCGGGTCAATGCTGACGCCCACACGTGGGTCGTGAATTTCGACGAGCTCGTGACTGCGGCCGAGGAACACCTGACCATGCTGGAGAGCTCGTCAGAGGACTGCAACGGCGTCCTGGGCGCCCATGGCATGCTGCGCAACGCTAGCAGCATTCTTGCGCCCGCTGACAGCGCGGTTGGGGAGGCGGAGGTGGAGGGCTACCATAGCGCGCAAGCACTGCTACTCCTCGCCGCAGCAGCCGCTGGATCCGCATTCACTTGCGTGGCCATTGCCCTCGCAGCAGGATCCACCTTTGCCATAAGAGCCTTGAAGGCTACTCGGCGGATGGCGCCGATCTCCTGGGCCACACAAATATTCACTCTCCACATCCGTTTACTCCTAGGCGGTTGCGAGGCCTGCTCCCATCGAGCGAGGAAGTGTGAGGTCGAATTGTGGGAAGCGGCTGCCCCGGCGAGCGGCTCCGCAAGCGAACGCTTGGGAGTACGCTCCTGCCGAGCAATCGGTGCTCATTACTGGCAGTGAGTGCTCCTTTTCCCCATCTCATAGTAGAGGCGTCCGTGCTTACGCCACCAGACTTGTGATTACCCGCTCGTTCGGACTTCGGATGGGTTAGCGCTTCCAGAAGCATTTCGTTTTTCTTTTTGAGACCGTTTGTGAGAGGGGAGGAAGTACAGTGACAAGTGAGTGGAGAACCTTGCCTAGACTAAGAGCCACTACTCCTGCTCTACTCTTCTAGGGGCGAGTGTCTTGTTGCAGCTCGGAGCGCGGAGAGGGCGGGTGGGGTCGTGTGTGGGTGTGGGTGGGTGGTAGGGTGCCGTGTGTGTGTGGGGGGGGGGGGGGGAGGGTTGCCTAACCTTAATTTGGGGCCTAACAGTTGCGCTATTGTTGGCTGAAATCCTCAACGTTGTTCAAGTGTTCACCCCAGCCCATGCTGTAAATGTTTGTTACGGTGGTTACTGTTGTTCAGGGGCCAGCAAGCAGAAAATGGCAAAACCCCCGGGTAAAACCCGAAAATACCTCTGGGATTTTCCGGGTATTTTGGGGTAATTACCCGCACTGGACACTAGAGATCGTCGTGGGTCACTGCCAGGCCTTCCTTACTGTTGTTCAGTGGGCCTAACGTTAGCTACTGTTGTGGGGGGGCCCCACGGTTGTTCGGTGGTTACTGTTAACACTAGCAACACTGTTCAGCTCTTAACGTTAGGCAACCCTAGCGGGGGGGGGGGGGGGGGCGGGGGTCTTGTCACTCGCGGAGGGGCGTGACACTATCCCTGCCGCTACCGTCCTCGCCGTTTTTGGCCGCCTCCACCTCTGGCGATTCGGCCTCCTCTCTTGTCGATAGATCCGAGAGCGTGTCGCGCATGCGCAAGAGGGCCGCGTGGTGGACAGCGGTCGGCCGAGCCACCCTCGCCACGGGCCTACATCGTAGCGCGGCGCTCGGTGTAAAGAGAGGCGCCAGTTTCGGCGGCGGCATCACCGCACACCGCAGATGATTGCCTGCCGTTCGCCGGAGGGGAAGGGCGCGGAGGCTGCAGGCGGGCCATGGAGCTAGAGCGCCGCCACGCGTCCCACTCCTCCTCCGCGCTCAAAGACTGTCCGTCGCCGAGCGTCTCGTGCGAGTGCCGCTGCAATTGCACCTGCCCCTGCCCCGCCCAAAGCGGTAGCGGCACCTGTCCATGCCCCGCCGCCGACGGCGCCACGAAGGCGGCGATCTGCGGGGCGTCGGGCCGCAGAATAGGCGCCATCGGCGGCACGGGCCTCGCCACCGCCACCGCCGGCTGCCCCGCCGCCGTCGACGCCATCTCCACACCGACGGTCCAGGCGGCGATGGTGAAGGCGGCGGTGGCGAGGGCGGCGCCATCTGCGGCCTGCGAGGCCCCGAGCCGCGGCGCGGGTATAGCCCCGGTGCGGGCGTCGCTCCTTGGCGAGCCGAGCCCCGGTCGAAGCCCCGGGGCTGCCAGACCTGCCTCCTGGCCTCTGGACTCACCC